GAAATATGAGCAACAAACGGAACTGAGTGAGATTTGAGTCCAAAAGAACGGGATGATTTGTGTTTTAGACATTCAACACCCCTCACAGACACCCGCAGCCTGCAGCCCATCCATCTGCTGCCTTTTCTGCAGAAAAAAAAAAGAAAAAAAGGCTTCAGGAGGTGGAGAGGGAGGCTTTTATGTTGAAAAGACACTTGAGAAGCAGCATGTGGCTACAGCAGCAGAGCTCTTATTGCTTGGGGTTGAGGCAGAGGGCAGCTGAGGTTCTGCAGGGTTCAGAGAGAGCAACTTATCCTTCAAGGTGGCTTGGAGATCTGTTGCTGCAAACACTCCTTACCCCAGATGTTGTTCACTCTCTAAACAATCAGATTAGAAGAACAATGAAGACATGTTTTCCTTTAAACCAGGTTGCAGATTTTGCAGCCTGATTTAGCAGAGCTTCATTTAGCGTGGTGATGTAACCCTACAGTAAGTGGATGCTGCTGCACCCTGCTGCGTACTGACTTCATGTGTTTCTGCTGGCTGATGGGAGACTGTTGTTGCTCGCCAGGATTAGGATCTGAATGCATGAATGGCTCATGGCTTGTGCCTGGCACAAGGCCTCCTTCTCCTCCTCCTCTTCAACCCTTTTCTTTGCATCATTAAATTGAAGGGCAGATGTAGTGAGAGTTGTTCTCTGTTGAGATTTAAAGTGCTCGTTTCATTTCAACCACCCTTTTTTTTTGTTATTTTTCTTTAGAACAAATTGCATGTTTTGCATTTTTTCTCCTGTGTAAAATGTTAGATTTAAACTGGCTGGAAGGGTTTAGAAGTTGAATCTGTGGGTGTCCCTGTGGGGCGTGGAGGGAGGCTGCAGCAGCTGTTGAAGGCACAATAGTTATTAGTGACAGCCAACATGCAGGTCAGAGTGACTCTTAAGTTTCAATCCGAGCACACAAAGGCTTCCTAAAGCTTCTGAACCTCAAACTGGACAGAAAAGAAAGAAACCAGCGTGTGGCAGGAGCTAAAGATCATCTCCATTAAGCTGCAGCCTCACTTGAACATGTGCTGCTGTTACCTTTAACATTAAAAAGCTCAACACCTTACATGTCATTTATCTTTTATAGTTGTGGGGCTGTATAACTTATGGCATTAAATAATTGGGGAAAATGTTCTGATTAATTGTCTAATTTAATTAAACTATTCATTATTTTATTTAACACGTATTTTCATGATTATATGTGATCGGATCTAAAACAAACAAATGAGAGAAAACTATGATGCTTAGGAGGAACAATGTGGGACAGATGACACTTTTTTAAGCAATGTGGTTTTTTTTGTGACTCATGTTTAAAGTGTCCCCTCCAATTAAATTTTAAAATAAATTTGCCAAATCTCACAAAAAGCTGTCTGAGAATCACCTTCCACTTCCTCACCCAGTAATAAACTGTTGTTAGTCACACATATTCTGTGTTAATAAAATACTTACACTACCCTCTAATGAAGAATATTTGCTCTTTTTCCAAAGGTTCATGTTTTCACTGTGTTTGTTTTCCCATCTATCCATTCTTTACAATCAGGAAGTCCACAAACTGTATTTAAAATGCTGCAGCCAGAGTTTTGATGAAAATTAAAAAGAGATCATATTTCCTTCATCTTAGCTTCTCCTTATTGACTTCCGGTTAGATCCAGGATATAATTTTAAATTCTTGTTCTCAAATTTAAATCCCTAAATAACCAAGCCCCATCTTATATCATATATCTGATTGTTCCTTATGTTCCTAACAGAGCACTTCTCTCTCAATCAGTATAATTATTAGACAGCATGGGATTAATTTCCACTGTTATACTGATGATACTCAGCTATATCTGTCTATAATCCAGATGAAGCTAACCTATTACATAAATTAAAGGCATGTCTTGAAGACATAAACACCTGGATGACTCTTAACTTTCTGCTTCTGAATGAAGACGAAACAGAAGTTATAGTCTTTGAAAAATAAGCTGATTAGTCAGTGGCTTCATTTTGATGGG